CGTTTGGAGAGTTAGTATTTTAAGCCTAATGGAAACTAAATACATATAAATTAGAAGTCGACTGAAATTTGTTTTCCAGATGAGATGTAAACAGGGAACCCAGTGGATCAGAAACTTGGCAATAAGGATTTACGTGCAGCACTTATCCAGGTAAACTAATAAGAGTGATTTACAATAATTATACTACTCTTCATTAATCAATTAAGTCATTCTTATTGTAGCAGCTACATGTATGCTATTTTTTCAGGGGTTTTTTCGATGACCTGCAAAAATCTGCACTCAAACTCATTATTCCACTCACATTTTTTTCAGCAAAAGCTGCACTACTCAAAATTACAGTGTTTATTTTTTACATTTTAATTAAAATATATCTTTCATTTAGTGGCAAGAAAGATGTCCAACCTTGAAATTATTTCTCATAAGTGATAATTCAGAAGGCTCTGAAATGTGACAAAATGTCTTCTTTTTTTACTGCGGCATTTTTGAGCAAGAGTGCCAGTACAAAAGTTGTCCACCACCTGGGGCTAAACCTTGAAATTGCACTGAATTCCTCTTTTGCACTCTATTTTAAATTTGCAATGAATAAACTAAAAACTGGGCTTTAATCCATTTAAGGACATTCACGCTAATTGTTTCTGCGCATCCTTACTACGCACGCAAATTCACACGCCACGTCATGCATGAGAGCGCACGCTAAGTAATAAAATGAACAATGATAGGGCAGATGGCCATTGCTATAGCTTTGCCTGGATTTAACAATTTTGGGCATTCGGTGACCCCTACTTTTCTTTCCAGAAACAGATTTTGTTTACAATTATCTCCACACTATCCAAAAATGAACAAAAAATCAATGTGGAAAATTAAAAATTTTCAAGATTTCTGTCCACGGGATATCAAATCCTGTCATCTTGCGGCTACAAGGGTTGTGAAACTCTGGTCACTAAATGTGAACTTGTTCTTTAAGGAACCTCACCAGTTGACTAAATTCACTTAATAGGACCACTTAAAACAATATTTGGCAGAGAACTTTTTACTTCAAAGATCTAATTGCAATATTTTGGGGCTTACAGGCACTGTGGCCTTATTCGCTAGTAAAGCCCACTTACTTGTATACGTGTATAACTCAACAATGGACTTAGGGATGTTAACTATAAATTATTATCCCAATAAAATAATATTATTCACAAAATGTCTAGTTCAACTTCTGGTTGGTCTCTGAACTGATTTATTCATTGCCTGTGTACATGTAATTGTTTATAATAACAAATCAACCAGTAGAACTTGCATGGTGATTGACTGGCAAACAGACTGACTAACAGGTTTAAACTCATTGATACACTGATATGTAGACTATTTGACATACTGACCAGGTAGGCAGACAGACAGGCAGACAGACTGATGGACTGAATGACTGACTGACACACAGACAGACAGAAAGACAGACAGATGACTGACTGACTGACTGCTGACTGACAGACTGACAAACAGACAGACTGACTGACTGACTGAAAGACAAACGGACTGACTACCTGACTAATTTATTGACTCATGACTGACCATCTGATTAGTTCATTACTGACTGATTGACTCATGACTAACTGACTCACTAATTGACTCATGACGGACTTTTTGACTGACTGATTGACTCTTTACTGACTGAATGAATCATTGACTCACAACGGACTGACTGACTTTTTGAGGACTGCTGACTGACTCACTGACTGACTGCTGATGGACTGCTAGCAGACTGACTGATTGAGTCCTGACAGACAAAGTGACCAACTCAATGACTATGATTGACTTATTCATGACTATCTGACTGACTGATTGACTGCTGATGGATTGACTGATGGACTGTTCACTGACTGACTTATTAACTGATGAGAGACTGTTGACTGACTGCTGGACCCATTCACTTGCCAATGGACAGAATCTGTGATTGACTGATTGACTGACCAACACTTTAAACTGATTGGCACATGATGTATCAACATTGATCTGTTGAACTTCTGTATCATACAAAAGACATTTGAAAAAAAATTATTGTAAGATGACAATATCAAAAAGTCACTGAACAAAAATCTTGGTACAGTACATTGCATGTCTGAAGTATTGAACACAGTCAAACCTCTCTAAATGACCACCT